ACTGTCCTAGGCCTCCCCATTCACTCACCACTCACGCACTCACGCACTCACTCACTCATCCAGACCAACTTCCAGTCCTGCAAGCTCCATTCACGGGAGTTGTCCTACACAGGTAGCCCATTTTCTACCTTTTAGCCTGTATTTTTACTGTATCCTGTTTATGTTCAGATATGTTTGGATATACAAACGCTTACCACTGTGTTACAATTGCCTACAGTATTTAGCACAGTCGGACACTATACACGTTTCTAGCCTGGAAACAATAGGCCATACCATACGGTCTAAGTGTGTAGGAGGCTATACCATCTAGGTTTGTACATTCTACAAGGTTCGCACACCAACAAAATCCCCCAACCACATTTCTCAGAACATATCCCCATCCTGAAGCACTGCATGGCTGTAACTTAAAGAGTTTTATGAGGAAAATAATGTGCTCTAATATTTTCAAGTTTGGCAGATTTGCAGAAGGGTCAGGACATGGCTCGAGGGAATTTCAAGGGCCACCATTGACCTGTCCAGAGCCTGGCTGTGTCTCACCTTGTCCTTGGGTAACAGTGAGCGCCATCAGCTCTAATTCAGATGTGGGGCTGTGCCTCCATCTATGACTGCTATTGAGTGACAGAGACAGTTATCCAAGATGATGTGCACAGATTACTTTTTGTGAAGCACAAATATAAGAGCTGAAAGGTCTTTTGGATTCCTGTGCAGAGCTGATGCATCATGATGAACTGACAATAAAGCTGATGAAGACAGAAATCCTACTCTGGTCATGTGGCATCACATGTGGTTAAGAACTTTGGAGTCAGCACAGGCTGAGGCTAGACAGGTCTGGGCCTGCAGGTTTGGCCCCAGGCCAACCTACAGTGGATGGGCTGTATACCCTCTCTGAATTTCTTCTTTCATAAAATGCATGCAATAACACCTCCTGCAAAAATGCTGCCTTGCCATCAGTGCACTGAGGATACTGAATGGAAAGCATTTGGGCAGGGTGGAGTGTGGAGTTAATGTTTTATAAATGACACCAGTTATGATTGGCAATGAGCAGGATCAAGGCAGCCCTCCCCAAGACCCAACTGGTCGCTATCACTGTGGCATCAGTGGTCAGGAAGTCGCTGGAATCACAGCACAGAGTCCCAGCACCTGAATCCCAGATCTGGTTACTAGTGTGGCTTTGAGCAAGTTACTCAGCATCCTTTGGTTCCTCACCATGAGATGAAGACAATAAGGGTATCTGCTTCAGAGGGTTACTATAAGCAATTAAATGACATAACTACCCTTAGTGCAACGTTCAGCACATAACAACATGCAGCAAACACTAGCTTTGGGGAGATGCCTTGTCTCCAGCAGGGAGGCGGAGGAACTGCCATGATCAGATACACAAAGGCTGGGCATGAGCTGCCTGCGGTTGCTATGACAATTGACCACAAATTCAGGGCCTACACAACACCAATGTGGTATTCTCCAGTTCTAGAGGTCAGAAGTCCAACCTGGCCTCACTGGGCTAAAATCAAGGTGGTGGCAGGGCTAGGTTCCTTTCTGAAAGCTCTGGGGCAGGATTCTTTTCCTTGCCTTTTTCAGCTTGTAGAGGCTACCTGCATTCCTTGGCTCACAGCCCTGCATCGCTCAAACTTCTGCCTCCAATATCACATCTCCTTATCTGACTCTGACCCTTCTTCCTCCCTCTTGTAAGGACCCTTGGATTAGATTGAGCCCACCTGGAAATTCCAGGCTACCCTCCCCGTCTCCAGGTTATTAACTAAATCTCATTTGCCAAGTCCCTTTGGCCAAGGTAACATATTTATAAGTTTCAGGGATTAAGACATGAACATCTTTGTGGGAGGGGGGACATTATTCTGCCCACTACAGACTAGTTGAGGAGATGGAGGCACATGTATTGGATGTAAGGTAGGGCCTTTAAAATAATGAATATAAAGTCTATATAGCAACATGAGAAAGTGCTTACAATGCTATGTTTATCAAAAGAAGGAAAAAGCCTATGAACCACATGACTGCAACATTTAAAAAGTGTGTGTAGACATCTGAAAAAATAGTAAAGTTGTAACCGCATCAAGAAAGTGCCCTGGTTAAAGAAACGGGCAGAGGGTGTACAGGCCCTGAACACAGCAGCATACACTCCAAACAGGGCTTTGTCTCTAACTAAACTTCATTGATTCCCATGCCCCATTTGTGAAATTAGAATATGTGGTGGAGACTGTCTGAGTCCTGCCCTTTGCTGGGGAACTGCCACATACCTCAGCTGTTGGGAGAGTGACTGACAATGGCTCATAGCTTCGCTCTGAGAATGACCCTCCACGTTGAAGCACAGCCCAGGATGACTCTTAGGAATACAAAGGTTGGGGCCAGGCGCAGATGGCTCACTCCTGTAATCCCAGCACTTTGGGAGGCTGAGGCAGGTGGATCATAAGGTCAAGAGATGGAGACCCTCCTGGCCAACATGGTGAAATCCCATCTCTACCACAAAAATTAGCTGGGCGTGATGGTGCACACCAGTAGTCCCAGCAACTCGGGAGGCTGAAGCAGGAGAATTGCTTGAACCCACGAGGTGGAGGTTGCAGTGAGCTGAGATCATGTCATTGCACTCCAGCCTGGCAACAGAGTGACACTCCCTCTCAAAAAAAAAAAAAAAAAAAAAAAAAAAAAAGGAGTACAAAGGTCAGGACAGCTCTGCCTTTTATGCTCCAGAGCAAAAACCAAAGGCCTGACTTCACCTGACATCCTTGTTTGGCTCTTCCCCCTTCCTTATCAGGTTTCCCTCACTCTTCTGTGGTTCTTATCCTGAAGAACAGCCCAACCCCACTGCCCTCAGGCTCTGCCCCTCAGAAACCTTACCCGAGACAGGGTCCTCCCTGTATTGCTGCTCAACAGCAAGGGCTCCCAAAATGTGGTCCCCAGACCAGCAGCATCCATACGATGGGGGCACTTGTTAGAAATTCACATTCTTGTGTCTCACCTACTGACCTGCAGACCTAGCAAATGAGGAGTTTTGAGGAGGTTCAGCCCTATGCTTTAGCAAGCATTCCCGGACATTTGGCACAGCCCACATCCAGGAGTGCTTGTTGATCTAAGACAACTTAAGACATCTTTTACAGATGGTGAGTCTGAAGCCCCAGAAGAGAATCATAATGCCTTGATTCGAAAACCACTGCATGACTTTTAGAAAAATCACACCTAGTCTGTGGGCATGGGAATCTCAATGAGGCTTTTCATCAATGGTTTCACTTCAAACAAAACTGTCATAGGAAAAAAAAAAAAAAGTCATGAGAGCCAGCATGCTTTTATTTTGAAAGTAATTAAAAACCAGCCCAATTAGCCCCCCAAAGTTATTGCTGGTTTATGACTCACTTGTGTTTGCTACCCAGGACGCGGACCCTCTGTACCCAGGGAATGTGTGTGTTCACTAGTAGGTGCCAAGAGCTCTTCTCTCCTAAGATGATTGGAAGGATTGCATCTGCTGCTATCTCCATCAGCCTGAACCACACATCCCAAACCATTCCTCACTTTGAGCACCTTCCCAGAGGCTACAACCACCATGAATGAACATACCACGAGGTCCTGAGTCAAGCACTTTGAGAATCCTGGTTTCCTGCCTGGAGGGTGGTGTGTGTTTCAGCAACGGAATTCCACTGAGCAGGAATTTAGGCAGTGCTCAGGGCGTGTGGGGCCCTGAGCTGAGAGATAAAGGTATGCTCTCTTTTTCCAGCAACTGTAAGAGAAAGTCACGGCTTTGCTATCCCTGGCCTTAATAAGCCACAGACAGAGCCCTTCCAGCAGAGGGAACCAGGAAAAGTTGGTGGGAGGGAGGAGACACTTGACATGGCCTTGTCAGATAGGGTTGGGTTTAGACACAGGTGAACGGAGTGGAGAGGGATCGTGGCACAGCCCAAGCCACAGTCAAACAGAAAGGCAGGAATGGCTTAAGATAAAGTATAAAAGCAGAAAAATCTAGCTTATTTGGAGAATAGCAAGTAGAATATTGGTTGAATCATAGAATATGGTTAAAAGTTATGTCCAATTCCAATCTGTTGCCCAATACTGCTTGGCTTGTCTCTACAAAAGTAGCAGACAAGCACCATCACATATTGCCTCGTGAACTGATCCACCCAAGAAATGTGCAAATGGCAAATGCCCAGAGGCCTTCAGTTTGTTTAATAATTACACTTACTCTCCTACCTACATCATTAGCGACAGAGGCAGGGAAGGGACACTCAAATTCTTACTTCTTGGATTTTTACATGCCTTCTCTTATTTCTAGTCTTATGGAAGTCAAGGTTTATTCTGAATTTTCACCATCCTTTTAACAATACTCCTTGTTAATATTTTAAAACAGATGTTTCTCTGAGAGAACCACTTTTCAGCTTTAAATTCAGCTAATCATCTCGGTGTGATTCGATGCTATTGACTACCCAGTTTCTCCGGGAATTCTTCCTGTCTTCGACTTCTCGTCTCGTCTTTTTCCTCTTGGCTACTGTATCTTACTTTCTTTTGGGGGTTCTCTCCTTGACATTCCTCTGTCCTGCCTTTGTGCCCTCTTCGCAAACCTGAGGGACCAATCCAGCCAAGGAGAGGCCAGATCCCCTCCGTGAGCACCGCCTCAGAGCCAGCTGCCTCCAAGTCGCCTCAAACAGCTTTTGCAAAAGGAAACCAACCAGACCCCTTCATGGTTCTCCGTCCCTTCTTCCTCCTATGTCATCGCCTTGGCCAGTGGCCGAGCAAAAACCAAAGGCCTGACTTCATCTGAGGCAACATCCTCCTCACCCTCCCGCTGCCCTCACTGGAAACAGAGGCGCCCACTCCGCACCCTCCTCCTCACCTCCAACATCCAACTGAAAGCCAAGGCCAAGGCCGTTTGCTCCTGAAAGAAAGGCTCTGCTCCATTGCATCAGTTCACCTCCCTGCCCTGCTGGTGTCAGCAAGGTCACAATCAAGCTGGTGACCCCACCAGCCTTATCTCCCAGCCGGTCCTGCCAAACCTTCTTGACATTGCCAGTGTGTGACTGTGAAGGCCACATGGTCCTTCGAAAACTCAAATGCAAGGGACGTGTTTCTCCCCAAGAAAAGGTACAAAATCGAAGCACACATGTAGAGGGACCCTGGGAGTTCAAGGAGCTCAGGTTAGAAATCCTTAAACCCAGTCTGCTTCCCACAGGTGGCTGGCTTGATGACTGTGAGTGCTGCCTTCCCCTTTTCCCCCACTGGGCTAACTCCTAACTCCTCACCGGTGACATGGCTCAAGATCGCTTCTCTTAGAAGGACGTCCCGATCCGCCGCTACCCCGCATGGCCCCCAAGCTGGACTGGAGCCTGCATTCGTCCCCAGGACTTCCGTGAAAAGTGACCACAAAGGGAACAGCTGGATACAACAGGGATTTACTGCCTCCCAGTTCTGGAGGCCAGAAATCCAGGTGTCAGGACCGTGTTCCCTCTGAAGGCCCTAGGGGAGGACCCTTCCTTGCCCTTCCCAGTGTCCCATGGTCGCTGGCATCCTCTGTGTCCCTTGGGTTGGGACAGCCCCTCTCTAATCTCTGCCTCCACCTGTACATGGCCATCTTCCCTGGATGTGTGTCCAAAACTCTCTCCTTTATAAAGACACCAGTCATTGGATGTAAGGCCCACCCTACTCCAGCGTGACCTCATCTTAACTCCATGACGTCTGCCAAGGTCCTTATCCAAATGGCCCTTATCCCAATAAGGTCACATTCACAGGTATCAGGGGTTAGACCTGGAACATATCCTTTTCAGAACACTATTCAGCCAGCCCACACCAGCACCCCCGACAGGCGCTACCGTGCATCCTTTTCATGCTGTTGTGTAATGATCTGTTCCTGAGTATCTCCCCAAGTTAGCCCAGGTCTTTAGAGATACCTGGTTCATCTCCTTTCCCCTGGGGCCTCACACAGTACTGGGCCCAGAAGACACTCAGTGTGGACAGAATGAACAGATTACTTTATATTTTAATAACGATTATATCTGTGGGAAAGAATTAGAACGTACCTTCTCCAGACAGTTTGAGCATATTCTACTGAGGTTTCAAAGCCATTTTACTCAGTTTCAAAGGTCTTTTAATGACAAGGACGCATTTGGCTAAATGAAAGAAAAAAATGGCCACAGTTTACCTCTGTAACTAGGCTCCGAATGAGTCAGGCTTCCACCTTCCGGCCTCGGCCAAAGAACCTCAAAGCTCTATGTGTGATGAAGTCACCGGAATGTTTACAGGGCAACCATGGGAGGGGGCATACAAGCCCACCTTGTGACATTTCTTGTTAGCAGCAATCATCTCTTTGATGTTTACATCTGAGGCTTCTTTGACGAGTAAAACAAGTTTGCATGAGAGTTATTTAAAAGTTTTCTTAGTATTAAAATATATCCAGATAACATCACACTGGTGATTAGTCTACTTGTTACCAATTTTTTTTACAAACGGTTTATATAGAAAATTGAGCAATATAAAAATTTACCATGCAAGCTCTTATAAGAATGATTGGTTTTCAATCTAATGAAATATCTGACACTAAATTATAATGAGCATTGTTTTATAATTTATACCCAACCAAATTTGAGGTAGCTTATAGTTAATAATGCAGTTTAAAAACAGTAAAACAAACTGATTTAAAAAAAAAAAAAAAAAAAAACAAAAGCACATAATGAGCTGGAGAAGTCACTGAATCAAACTCAAAAACCTGGGCTAAAGATGGCACTGGCAGCTGGGTGCGGTGGCTCACGCCTGTAATCCCAGCACTTTGTGGAGGCCGAGGTGGGCAGATCACCTAAGGCCAGAAGTTCGAGACCAGCCTGACCAACATGGAGAAACCCCATTTCTACTAAAAGTACAAAATTAGTCAGTCATGGTGATGCATGCCTGTAATCCCAGCTACTTGGGAGGCTGAGACAGGAGAATTGCTTGAACCCGGGAGGCGGAGGTTGCGGTGAGCCAAGATCGTGCCATTGCACTCCGGCCTGGGCAACAAGAACAAAACTCCATTTCAAAAACAAACAAAAAGAAAAAGAGAGACAGCACTGGCACAGACGAATCACAACGACAGGGTGAGTTCCCCACTGCCGAAGTAAAGGGGAAATGTGAGAAATTGCATAACTTACTGCCTTTCCAATGAAATACATCATTTTATAAGGCGAGCAGTTTTTATTTTCTGGGATAAAGCCTGGGTCATTATATAAATGCACAGTGGCTTTGTAAGCCGTTTCACAAACACAAGACAAATGGAAATTTCACTGGATAATCCCAAGCCCCTTGCGTCTGGTCAGGGTCTCCGTCACATCATAATGGCTAAAACGCATTGCACATTAATCGTGAGCCACACACCTGCTAAACACTGGTCAGGTGTTATCTCCTTTAATGGAAGAAATGACCTTGTGGGGAGGGCACTATGACTACTCATTTTACAGATGAGGAAGTTGAGCTCCATTTATGTCTCTTACTAGGTGTCACCCCTCCCGTAAGACTAAAGCTGTGAGTTTGCAATATGAATAATCACTGTACATGATTAGGAGAAGGCAAAAGTAGAGCTGCTTGAGTTTTGACGCCTGGTCCAGGTTGACGCTTGGTGCCACCACATTTTAACGCTGTCTAACCTTGGATGAGCCACGTAACCTCCTTGCCTCTGTTTGTTCCTCTGTAAGAGAGAGGCTGGCATAGGCTTTGTTGGGCTGGGAATCATTAAATGAGGCAAATAAAGGTTTTCATGGGCTCAGCACAGTGCTGTCACAGAACGGGCCCTCAAAAAACAATGTGTTATTAGCCACAGTTTTACACATAATTTTCATCTCTCTCAGAAAATTATGGGTTATAATGAAGACGTTGTAAAATCCTATTCTGCTGAATTTTGTAGTCACTTGGGCTCTAGCTGAATCTGAGACCCGTGGAGTGTGAAGCACGGTCCTCCGGCCCGTGGCAGCCAGGGTGGGATGTTCCAGCTTCGTTTTCCCTGTGGCTGGAGTGTGGGTATCTCCTAGTGACAGAGCAGGAGCACCAGCCTCAAGGATGATGATGACAACCAAATACAATAATGCACGTGAAAGCACCCCGCTCATGGGTACCACATCGATGTGATCAAGCCAGTATCTCAGAGCCGCAAACATTTACGGACAAAATAGCATGTTTGAGGGCCTGAGTTGGGTGCTGAGATAGCAACGATGCAGAGAACACAGGAATCCCTGCCTTGGAAGAACTCACAGTCTAATGGGGAGATGACACACATAAAGAGATATTTTTCCATGCAATGTGGATCTGACCATTTTCTTTTCTCTCATGAGTTGTCTCGTGTTTTGATACTCGTGGTAAAATACACATAAAATGTACCATGTTCATTATTTCTAAGTGTGCAGTGGTATTAAGTACTTTCCTAACATGCAAGAGTTACCATCATCCATCTCCAGAACTCTTTAACCTGCAAAATGGAAACTCTCTCCCCATTAAACACTAACTCCCCCTTCCCACCTTCCCTCAGCCCTTAACAACCACTGTTCTACTGTCTATTCCTACCAATTTGCCTACTCTAGGAACCTTATACAAATGCAATCATACAGTATTTGCCTTTGTGTGGCTTATTTCACTTAGCATGTCTTCAAGGTTCATCCGTGTTGTAGCATGTCAGAATTTCCTTCCTTTTTAAGGATAAATGATATGCTATTGAATGTATAGCCTACAATGTCCATATCCCTACATCTGTCAGTGGACACTAGTCGCCACTTAGCTATTGCAAATAATGCTGCAATGAACATGGTTGTACAAATGTGTATCCAAGTCCCTGATTTCAATTCCTTCTTAAGAATTGTATTTTGCCTTTCATTCTATAGTTCTTGATCTTATTCTATAATATTTTCTTAGCACAAACTAGTTCTTGTTTTGAGCGGTAGGTGGGGGTGGCAAGGAGATAGATCTATGGATAGATAAATTTGGTAGTAATCTTAAAACCATCCTTAAAAACATTCCTTCCTCCCTTCATGACCACATGAGCAGAGGGAGCAGGATATAAGAATGAGGGTCTTGTTTTCAGACCTCGATGGACATAAGCAGTTAGACACAGGTGGTCTCTGTTGTGTAACTCAAACATCTTCAATGTGGACATCAATGTGACAGGAAGAGGAGGCACTCTCCTCTCAGAAAGATTCCAGAGCTGGGAGGCAGCCCAGATCAGGGAGAACTGAGACCTGGGTAGCAGGGACAGGAATTCTGTTGGGAAGACCAGGAAATGCACAGCCTCACCTAAGCAGAGAGTCAGGGCTTAGGCAGCAAGAAGGTGCACTGGGAGAAGTTGAAAGATGACAAGTTAGTCCCCATTTGGGGAGCCTTAGTAGGACACAGCATGATATGCTGAGAAGAGTCCAGACAGCAAGGACACTAGGCTCCAGATCCCACCTGGCCACTCAGCCATATCAGCCCCTCCTCTGGACTCAGCTTCCTCATCTGCAAGGCAAGGAGTGCACGGACCTGTATGACCCCTAGGGTGCCGTCTAGCTCTGCCACGAGGGCTTCTCCTACAAGAGCTGGGGGCCATTGAGAGACAGTGCATGTGAGAGGGAGGCAGTCTCCATTAGCTTGCTTCTCTCATTAAGTGGAAAACGCCATCATTTTCATCACGATGTACTCCCTCCTTTGTCAAGCTCACTGAACAAGAATCGTTATTACATAGTATTGAAAGTCACGGTGTGGTTTGATTTCAGAGGAGACTGTTTCTGCCCTTGCAGGTGGGTGGCAGAAAATTGGGATGCTTCTGTGGACAACAGTGGCCAGAAAGAGACACCACCCCCAACCGCCACCCCAACCGCCACCCCAGCTTCCCCCTAAGAGAGATCCATGCTACAACAGGGTCCCAATTACCAGACTCATTAGCCAGGCGACTTTCTGTAGGGCAAGGATGAATTATTTGCTTTTAGTTCAGGACTGGTGAACAAGCAACCCACCAGGAAGAAAAATGGGACGTCTTTGAAACTTCCTGCAAAAGAGGACCTGGAGGTGCCTTCAGCCCACTGCAAAGCCACACACTTCAGTGAGACCAAAGAATTTGTCAGCTCAGGTTCTTTCGTTAACAGACAGATTCATTACGTAAACAAGACACAAAAACATTTTCCTAAGATGTCGGGATGGGTTTCCTCTCCTTCCCCAGCAGCAACGTGACTCTTGTTTGTGGGACTGTGGGGCTTCTTGTTTCTCATCTGTTCGGCTGAATTGGCCGGAGCAGAATGTCTGGAGCCCGGAGCTGGAACCCGCAGAAATGATTACAGGCTCCACTGTGAGCTGGACAAATGAGGTTGGGGCAGCATCTGAAAGCCCAAGTCATAAATCTCTCATTATAAGAGCCATTAGCCACACACTGCACACCGGGGGTCTGGAGAGCCACTGTCACTGGACCCGGTCCGAGAGCCCAGCATCAAAGGAAAAACCCAGGCTCAAGATGCTCACACCACTGCCATTATCCTGTGTCCCCACTTAGAAAACCAAAGTGGCCTCGCTACAGAACTCTCCAATGGCTTATCAGCAACGCCAGACAATTAGAACAAGGTTGTTCTTCTCCCTGGGGTGGGTTTTGTTTCGAGTTCTTTGGCTCTTTGTTTTTGCTGTTGCTGTTTAATGGAGCGAGGAGCCCTGCACTCCCCGTGTTATTCCCTGCTGTGTAGCAGACCTTCAATTCAGGCAAGAACAGGGAAACTGTCCTCTTAAATGGGTAGGCACCTAAGAATCCAAAGCTGCCTAAATAGCTTGTCCACACCTGCCACAACCAAAAATAAATAAATAAATACAAATATATAAATATAAATATACATATACATATATATATATATATAGAAGCAGCAGAGGCAAAGAGGGGCAGGGCTCTCCAGAGAGGCCCCAGCTAAGAAGTTGCAGAGTCAGGCTCCCTCAGTCAAGTCTAAGAGAGGCCCCAGGTCTCTGACTTTTAGTCCCATTCTCTCCTAACCACAGCCCTTCCTTCTGGGCTAAGATGATCTCTCCTCTCTCTGCAATTGACTTTTCTTTTTTTTTTTTTGAGACGGAATCTTGCTCTGTTGCCCAGGCAGGAATGGCACAATCTCGGCTCACTGCAAGCTCCGCCTCCCAGGTTCACGCCATTCTCCTGCCTCAGTTTCCCAAGTAGCTGGGACTACAGGCACCCACCACCACGCCCGGCTAATTTTTTGTAGTTTTAGTAGAGAAGGGGTTTCACCGTGTTAGCCAGGATGGTCTCGATCTCCTGACCTCGTGATCCGCCCGCCTCGGCCTCCCAAAGTGCTGGGATTACAGGTGTGAGTCACGGCGCTCAGCAGACTAATTTTTTTAATAACAGCTTTATTGAGATATAATTTACATACCATACAGTTTACCCTTTTAAAGTGTACAATTCAGTGGTTTTTGTGTATTCAC